TTTTAATATTTGGTTTATTATATTGTTTAGAGGTTTTGTACTAAGTTTTGAATAGAATTTAAGTTTTGGTTTTTAATTTGGTATTATCTTTTTAGGATTTGATGTCTTGTTGATTTTTTGTTCTTTTTGTTTTTAAGATTTTTGATAGTTAGTTGTTTGTTGTAAAATTGTCGTTTTAGAGTTGTATATATTTTATGTGTATTTAAATGTTTGGTAATTATTACATCTTATTGGTTGTTTGTATGTAGGGTTGAACAGCTGGTCATTTGTTTTGACTTCTAATTAGAGATGTGTATTTTTATGTTAAGTAATTCTTACTTCTTCTTGGTTGTTTGTAGGTAGGGCTTATTAGCTGGTCATTTTTTTTGTTGTGATTTGTGATAGGTAGTTGTTTGATGTTTATTTTTCAGTTTGGTGTTAAGATATATATTTTTGTACATTTTATGAAAGGTATTTCTAGGTTATTATTATTGTTTATATGTTTTGTATTAAGTGTTGAATAGTATTTATGTTCTGGTTTTAATTTAGGAATTATCTTTTTACAGTTGGATGACTTGTTGATTTGTTTTTCTATTGGTATTTGTTTTAAGATTTTTGATATGTATTTTTTTGTTGTATATATTTTATGTGTATTTTTATGTTTGGTAATTCTTACATCTTATTGGTTGTTTGTAGGTAGTGTTGAACAGCTGGTCATTTATTTTTAGCTTCTAATTAGTGATGTGTGTTTTTATGTTTAGTAATTCTTACTTCTTCTTGATTATTTGTAGGTAGGGTTGATTAGCTGGTCATTTTTTTGTTGTGATGTTCTATAGGTATTTGTTTGTTGAACTGTCGGCGATTTAGAATTTTATATATTTTATGTGTATTTTTATGTTTGATATTTCTTAGGTACTTTTTCTGGGCTTTTTTGTAGGTCGTGTCTAATGGTATATAAGTTTTGGTTTTTCTTTAGGTATTATATTTTTATTATTTAATGCCTTGTTGATTAATTGTTCATTTGGTATTTGTTTTAAGATATTTGATATGTATTTTTTGTTGTATATATTTTATGTGTATTTTTATGTGTGGTAATTCTTACATCTTATTGGTTGTTTGTAGGTAGGGTTGAACAGCTGGTCATTTATTTTTGGCTTCTAATTAGAGATGTGTATTTTTATGTTAAGTAATTCTTACTTCTTCTTGGTTGTTTGTAGGTAGGGCTTATTAGCTGGTCATTTTTTTTGTTGTGATTTGTGATAGGTAGTTGTTTGATGTTTATTTTTCAGTTTGGTGTTAGATATATATTTTTGTACATTTTATGAAAGGTATTTCTAGGTTATTATTATTGTTTAGATGTTTTGTAATAAGTATTCAATTGTTTTTATGTTCTGGTTTCAATTTAAGAATTATCTTTTCACAGTTTGATGTCTTGTTGATTTGTTGTTCTTTTGGTTTATGTTTTTTTAGATTTTTGATATGTATTTGTTTGTTGTACTGTTGGCGTTTAGGAGTTGTATATATTTTGTGTGTATTTTTATGTTTGGTAAGTCTGACTTCTTTTTGGTTATTTGTAAGTAGGGTTGAACAGTTTGTCATTTTTTTTGTTGTGATTTGTTTATGTTGTTGTTATCCCCCAGGGGAACACGTTCTTACGTGTTTACGGGTCTTAGCGAACCCGGGGTCCCGAGCTCTTGTTAGTTGTAGGTAATAATGATCAGCTGTTCAACGGTTTTGGCTTTGATTTATGTCAATGTTTTTACTAATTGTTATCGGTCTGTTTGTGTTCTTCGGTTTCTTTTTGTGAGTTGTTTAGGAATTGGTTATCCCCCAGGGGAACACGTTCTTACGTGTTTACGGGTCTAAGCGAACCCGGGGTCCCGAGCTCATGTTACTTATAGGTAAAAATGATCAGCTGTTCAACGGTTTTGGCTTTGATTTATGTCAATGTTTTTACTAATTGTTATCGGTCTGTTTGTGTTCTTCGGATTCTTTTTGTGATTTGTTTAGGAATTTGTTATCCCCCAGGGGAACACGTTCTTACGTGTTTACGGGTCTAAGCGAACCCGGGGTCCCGAGCTCTTGTTACTTATAGGTAAAAATGATCAGCTGTTCAACTGTTTTGGCTTTGATTTATGTAAATGTTTTTACTAATTGTTATAGGTCTGTTTGTGTTCTTCGGTTTCTTTTTGTGATTTGTTTAGGAATTTGTTATCCCCCAGGGGAACACGTTCTTACGTGTTTACGGGTCTAAGCGAACCCGGGGTCCCGAGCTCTTGTTACTTATAGGTAAAAATGATCAGCTGTTCAACTGTTTTGGCTTTAATTTAAGGAAATGTTTTTAACATTTGTTATTGGTCAGCTTTTTTTTCTTAGGTTTATCTTTGTGATATACGTTAGTTATTTGTTTGATTTATTGTCCTTTTTATAGTGTTAGATTTATTTGTATTCAAATTTTATGATAGGTATTTTATGGTTTTTTCTTAATGGTTGTTTCTTATGTTGTATTGAATAGTATTGAATTTTCTTTACTAAATAGGGATATGATTTTTACTGTTATATACTTGGTTTTTTTTTTTGTGATTTGTTTTAGGTATTTGTTCTATGGATGTGGTATTGAATATATTTGTCTATGACTATGAAAGGTATTTTTTGGTTTATTAGTTACTTAATAGTTTTTTTAGTTGTGTTAAATTGCTTAAGTATTTATTTTTAATTTCAGAACTTGCATTTATATTTTTTGTATCAACATAAACCAAGGATTCTTCAGAAGCCAGGTAATAACTTTCAATATTAATTCATTTAATCTACATTTTATATCTTAATAAATCTAATATGTTTCTTTTCAGAACTTGGATTTTCCTTTGTTTCAACTTTAACAAAGTGTTTTTCGAGAGCCGAGTAACCACTTATAATAATATTTGTTTAATTTTATGCATTAAATGTTTGATAGAATAAAAATCGAATTCTATTAATTTATATAAAATATCTTGAAACATTAAAATTAACTAATAATAATTAACTCTTGATAGATTACACTCATAAATGTTAAATATAATTCAATTTAAATTTATCAATCTCTTTTTGTTTCAAAATATTCAAATTTTAATACATTTTTTTTTTATGTTTCTTTTTCAGAACCTGGATTTTTTTTTTGGACCGACCCAAATCAATTTTCCTCCGGGAGCCGGGGATCCCCTTTTCATTTCTCTTTCTGAACTCTACACTTTGA